TCCAAAAAAACACCCCATCTCCGTCTGTCTCACTAACTTACTCACTCCATTTCAGGATGAGTCAAAAACACACAGAGGTTGACAGAAACTATCAAAGATGGGGAACCACTAAACAATTCAGACAAAGGATACAATTTTAAAAGAAAAAAATCCTGCACATTTCCCAAAATGGAGAGGAAAACGATGAGACAACAGATAAGGGAGAATTTAATCAAGCAAAAAAAAGAGAAAAGGAAAAAAAAGTTCTTTTCACACTAATATGCACCATTGATTTCCAATTCTGTTGGAAACATTTAATGAGCTTAAACAGGGGACTTATCTGACAAACATAAAAAACAGGGAAGTGTTCTCCTCAGGGAGATAATCACTCAGGAGCTGAAATGGAGGAGGGTGACAGGGCGACCGCATTCTGTGGGGGGGGGGGGGGGGTTGCAGACCGTGGCACCCTTTAATTTTTGGGTTGTCTGAAGAACGATGGGAAACAGGAAGTCAGGGGCCCCCAGAGGAACTGCAGTTATGACAGAGCTGAAGTGCGGTGAACTTTGACCTGGCTACCCCCCCTCCCCCGCCTTCCTGACAGCAAATAACCCATGAGGACTCCAGAGAGAGTGCCATTTCACACTCTCACACACACACACACACACACACACACATACTCTCACTCTCACTCACACACTCTCACACACACTCGCGCTCTCTCTCTCTTTCTCACACACACACACACTTGCGCCATTTCAACTCCAATCTATTAATATCCGGCACACCGCCTCGTTCCAGGGTTTTTGATAAAATAACATTTCTCAGAAGAGCACTTTGCGAAGCGCAGCAATCAAGATTTCTGAGATTCCAATCTGCTCTCTTAAACTTCACAAATGTTGAGCTTTTTCGTGCTGATTGAACCAACAGAATTTCTGAAGAAGTGCAATTGGATCTTTGACAGAAAATAATCCTCCTGATTGCGTTTAGAAAAATAAACGCGTTCAGGAATTTCAGGCACTCCCATGTTTCTTTGAAGAGCTAATAAAAGTCTCGGGTCCCACAAACCCTCATGAACGTTTGCGTGCTAAGCAGCCTCAAAAGCAGGAAGGAGAGGGCCCAAGGCACTCACAACATGTGTCCAGCATGAGAGGGCTGATCTAAGAACAGTCTACCCCTGTCCATGACTTTACCTTACCCTTAATCAGCTAAAGGACAGACCCTTACCTTACCCATTATGAGCTAAAGGACAGACCCATACCTTACCCATTATGAGCTAAAGGACAGACCCTTACTTTACCCATTATGAGCTAAAGGACAAACCCTTACTTTACCCAATATGAGCTGAAAGGAAAAAAAAAGCATCTTAGATCAGGATCTACATTCACAAAGCATCTTAGATCAGGGTCTACATTCACAAAGCATCTAAGATCAGGGTCTACATTCACAAAGCATCTTAGATCAGGGTCTACATTCATAAAGCATCTAAGATCAGGGTCTATATTCACAAAGCATCTAAGATCAGGGTCTACATTCACAAAGCATCTAAGATCAGGGTCTACATTCACAAAGCATCTTAGATCAGGGTCTACATTCATAAAGCATCTAAGATCAGGGTCTACATTCACAAAGCATCTAAGATCAGGGTCTACATGCATAAAGCATCTAAGATCAGGGTCTACATTCACAAAGCATCTTAGATCAGGGTCTACATTCACAAAGCATCTAAGATCAGGGTCTACATTCACAAAGCATCTTAGATCAGGGTCTACATTCACAAAGCATCTAAGATCAGGGTCTACATTCACAAAGCATCTAAGATCAGGGTCTACATTCACAAAGCATCTAAAATCAGGGTCTACATTCATAAAGCATCTAAGATCAGGGTCTACATTCATAAAGCATCTAAGATCAGGGTCTACATTCACAAAGCATCTAAGATCAGGGTCTACATTCACAAAGCATCTTAGATCAGGGTCTACATTCACAAAGCATCTTAGATCAGGGTCTACATTCACAAAGCATCTAAGATCAGGGTCTACATTCACAAAGCATCTTAGATCAGGGTCTACATTCACAAAGCATCTTAGATCAGGGTCTACATTCATAAAGCATCTTAGATCAGGGTCTACATTCACAAAGCATCTTAGATCAGGGTCTACATTCACAAAGCATCTAAGATCAGGGTCTACATTCATAAAGCATATCTGAGCCAGAGTGCTGATGTGGGATCAGTTTTCTCCTTTGTATGTCCTGACCTTGTCCAATATAAGCTAAAACGAGAAACTGATCGTAGATCAGGGTCTATATTCATAGTACTCAAAATGACTGATCAAAGATTATGTTTCCCCATCCATATCTTATGTGAATCCCTTATGAGCCAAAAGGAAAAGCTGACCCCAGAGCAGCACAGATGGCCTGGGACACATGCCAAACATGGGTGCAAACCCCAAGCTGTGACTCCTCTGTGTCCTGTGTGAGTTTTAAGGAGCACCCCTGCACTCTGCGTTGGGGGCGGGGACAGGGGTGGAGCCAGGGTCTGCCCGCCCTTACCACAGGGCCTCCATGGAGACAGATGTTTTGCACTGTGGTGCTTTCTGGCACAGTGATGTACGACTCCTGAGTGTTTGGGGAGATTTTTTATTTCAGGACGAGACGCGTAGCTGGCAGGCTGGCCTATAATCCCCTCTGATTAATCACAGAGGGAGAGAGAGACAGAGAAGGACAGGAGAGAGAGACAGAGCTTTGCAAGCACAATATATTGTCATTTGCCACACACAGAGGGACACTGAGTGACACAACAAACAAAAATGATGACAATCACATAATTTGACATGTATGCAATTTTGGTGCACAATATTCTTTATTATGTATGTATTTTTTCTTTGCTATTCATTTTGTTCCTGATTTGTTCTGGTTTTTCACGTTAGCAAAAGTCTATCCTAGTTATGCCAATAAAACCAATTATATTGGATGTAAATTGAGACACAGGCAGGGAGAAAGAGACAAAGGGTTTCTGCTCTCATATCATCCCCTTATCCTTAACCTGACCAGGCAAAAGGCAAAACTGATCTTAGACCAGTACTCAAACTCTACCTAAATGTCAATGTAAATTTATTTATCTTCCCCTCACTATTTACTCGCACTCCTGCTCCTAGACTATCTCTGGCACCTCCTCTGCCATGTAATGATATTCTGTATGTTAATGTAATGACTGTTACGCATGGCTGTGGTTCCACCTCTGCCCGGTGTGCTAGCCGAGCCTGTTGTGCACAAGTTTGTAAGTCATCATGCAGGTTTATTTCTGCACTCTCACGGCAGAGAAAGCCGTCAGTAAGTCTGTCCTTCTTAAAGAGAACAGGGAGGAAAACCAGCAGGCCTTACACCAACCGCTCCTGCTGCTCCTCTCTCTCTCTCTCTCTCTCTCTCTCTCTCTCTCGCTCTCTCTCTCTCGCTCGCTCGCTCCAGACATGGCGGAGGTTTTCTCTTGGCAGAGACGCTGAGGTAAATTGCTCCGCCTGCTCTTCGGCCCCGCTCCTTGCTGTGGCCGTCCTCCAACACTGCTCTCGCAGCCCGTTCAGACGTCAGCGCGACCAGCAGAGCAGAAAAAAGCAAACCCAGACAAGAATAGCTTTCTGTTTCACTGCTACCGTACCAACAACTTCCCAAGAGGCAGAACTAACAATTAATATGGGAGGAAGAGGGGGGGAAAAAAACAAACAAAACCAGGAAAACTGCCAAATATACACCTACATATCCCACTGGCAGCAACAAAACATGTTTTATTCAGTTTTTTGGTATTTTAACATGATTTGTTTTCAAGCAGAACAGATGCAGATAGCGCTGCTCTCGCACTGTGCTGATAAGGTGCAGTCAAAGACGCATTTTCAGACGTAAGGAAGTTTGCGATGCTCAATGGAAATGAAGGAATGAGAGCCGAGTCTGATGGCTGTAAACTGGGTGACGTGTCTGAGCAGTAAGAGACACAGATAAGGGATCCGTCTATCTGGGACCCGAATCGGCAGCCTGTCAATGCAGCAAACAGGTGCTCAGAGGAACCCGGCACAAGACAGGACATTCCAATCCACTGACCCTGAAGAGATGGGCCATTGTACCACCATCACACACGCACGCACGCACGCACGCACGCACGCACGCACGCACACACATATGCACACAAACGCAACAGCGACTGTCCGAGAGATCCCCAAATCCTGACCATTCCCAAAGCTAACAAACCTGCTTCCAAATGAGCTCTGCTCCTGTGCGGACAGGACAGACACAGACACAGACACACACAGAAACACATAGACAGACAGATACACACACACACAGACCACTCTCTGAATCTGAGTTAGCCAGGCATTGGGACTCTCTGAATCTGAGTTAGCCAGGCTTTGGGACACTCTGAATCAGAGTTAGTCAGGCTTTGGGACTCTCTGAATCAGAATTAGTCAGGCTTTGGGACTCTCTGAATCTGAGTTTGTCAGGCTTTGGGACTCTCTGAATCAGAATTAGTCAGGCTTTGGGACTCTCTGAATCAGAGTTAGTCAGGCTTTGGGACTCTCTGAATCTGAGTTAGTCAGGCTTTGGGACTCTCTGAATCTGAGTTAGTCAGGCTTTGGGACTCTCTGAATCTGAGTTAGTCAGGCTTTGGGACTCTCTGAATCTGAGTTAGTCAGGCTTTGGGACTCTCTGAATCAGAATTAGCCAGGCTTTGGGACTCTCTGAATCTGAGTTAGTCAGGCTTTGGGACTCTCTGAATCTGAGTTAGTCAGGCTTTGGGACTCTCTGAATCAGAGTTAGCCAGGCTTTGGGACTCTCTGAATCTGAGTTAGTCAGGCTTTGGGACTCTCTGAATCTGAGTTAGTCAGGCTTTGGGACTCTCTGAATCTGAGTTAGTCAGGCTTTGGGACTCTCTGAATCTGAGTTAGTCAGGCTTTGGGACTCTCTGAATCTGAGTTAGTCAGGCTTTGGGACTCTCTGAATCTGAGTTAGCCAGGCTTTGGGACTCTCTGAATTAGAGTTCTATGCTACAATGGTTAGGGAAATGGGTTTGCAACTCAGAGGTTGTAGGTTCAAATCCCATGTGGACACAGCCATAGTACCTCGAGCAAAGAAAGCACAGCCAGAGCTCCTCCTCAACCGGATGCGGGGGGGGGGGGCAAGCCTCACATGCCACTCTGCTCATCAGATCAATGATGCAATGTGTTGAAATGTATGTTTGAGCGCTGGGGTGCAGAGACACAGACACACAGCTCAGAGCTGGGGGGGGTTCCACCTGTACAGACTCTGGAGCAGAAGAGCTCGGCCTGCGATCAGCCAGCGAGGCTGGGCAGCGAGGGAGGGCAGCTGGGATCTCCTCCTTCAGCAATGCTTCTCATTTCCTAAAGGAGCTGAGAGGAAATGAGAAGCGCTGGTCTGTTATTACATTACACGGGACCAGCTTTGGGCACATGGCTCTTTCAATAAGCTTTATTAGTCACAGATCCACACAACACAGCCGTCTGTACACATCAGATGATGCCAGATTTATATTCATGTGTCAAGATCAAAAATTGCCATAAATGGAGATACAAGTTTTTTTTATGATGCCAAAAACATTACTGAGGATTTTTTTTTTAGATAATTCATAAAAATTCCTCTTCCAGCTTCTTTGAGAGTGCTGGCATACTTCTAGAGGTGGGCGGCTGCACAATTATAGTTCACTCCACATCAGACAACCTCAGATCAGCTGGATGCATTTTCACTTCTTTACCCGAGACCTGGAGAAATGGCTATTGTATGCCTGTGTGTGTGTGTGTGTCTGCTTGAGTGTGTATGTGTCTGCCAGTGTGTGTTTGTGCTTGTCTGCGTATGTGTCTGTGTGTGTGTACGTGTCTGCCTGTGTGTTTGTGTGTGTGTCTGCCTGAGTGTGTATGTGTCTGCCAGTGTGTGTGTGTGCCTGTCTGTGTGTGTGTGTGTGTGCGTGTCTGCGTATCTGTCTGTGTGCGTGTACGTGTCTGCCTGTGTGTTTGTGTGTGTCTGACTGTGTGTGTGTGTCGCTTATTAACACACTTCAGACTGCAGCATGGTCCCCTGGCTGAGCAAAACTAATTAAAGAGCAGCAGCAGAGGTGCAGTGAGAAGAGGCCAGCACACCGTGATCCAGCACAGGGGGTTAGGGTGGGGTGGGGTGGCAGTCACAACAGAGTGCGTCCACAGTCACGCTCGCCTTGACACTCCACACCCAAGGGGGTCCGCAAACTGTTCCCTGAAAGAGCGCAGTCCTCGAATGTCTGCGTTAAAGTTTAAAGAGTCACTCTCAGTGGCTTTCTTTCTCAAAGGGAAACTTTGATGAGTAAGAACACTAAAGCTCTAGGAAAGCATCCATCTGTCTTACACAGAGAAACCAAAACCAGCAGTCTGAGTATACCACCTCCCCTCCCCTTCACAACATTTAGCAGACCGTCTCACTCAGTAACTCAGTTTCACACAGCTAAGTACCGACTGAAGAGATTAAAACAAAAACACCATGTTCAAGGGTAAAATGGCAATGTCCTACCTCAGAATCAAACCTGCAGCCTCTGAACTACTATACTGTAACCTCTGAGCTACAAGCCCAGCTCCCTTACCATTACACTACACTGTAACCTCTGAGCTACAAGCCCAGCTCCCTAACCATTACACTACGCTGTTACCTCTGAGCTACAAGCCCAGCTCCCTAACCATTACACTACACTGTAACCTCTGAGCTACAAGCCCAGCTCCCTAACCATTACACTACGCTGTAACCTCTGAGCTACAAGCCCGGCTCCCTAACCATTACACTACACTGTAACCTCTGAGCTACAGGTCCAGCTCCCTAACCATTATACTACACTGTAACCTCTGAGCTACAAGCCCAGCTCCCTAACCATTACACTACGCTGTAACCTCTGAGCTACAAGCCCGGCTCCCTAACCAATACACTACACTGTAACCTCTGAGCTACAGGCCCAGCTCCCTAACCATTATACTACACTGTAACCTCTGAGCTACAAGCCCAGCTCCCTAACCATTACACTACGCTGTAACCTCTGAGCTACAAGCCCGGCTCCCTAACCATTACACTACCCTGTAACCTCTGAGCTACAAGCCCAGCTCCCTAACTGCTACACAACACTGCTGTTGTAATATAAAAATCAATTCCCTGGATTTGTTATTGCTTTTTTGAAGCATTCAGACACGCGCACGCACAGACAGCTTGGCCATTTGTGTGGTTATGCGCAGCGGCAGGACTGCGCTGCTCAGGGCTCTCTCAGGGGCGCGTTATTCCCACTGTTCTGCACACAGAGACCAGAGAGGGAACCCCGCTGGAGGAGCTCAAACGCTCACTGAACACGAGAGAGAGAACACGATCCCCGACTGGGCTGTCTCTGCTACAGCCGCTAACCCCTTTATCCCAGCCAGAGCCACGTTACATGGTGTGGGGGGGGTATCAGGGCCTTCCCGGTGAAAACACTGCCTGAACACAGCCCAGATGGGGTCCTGGAGTCAGACCTTCTGCGGCACAACGGCATTGCATGCGCTAAACGCTAACAGGCTAGCAGGCACAGTCCCCCCCCCCCTCCCCCCAGCCCTCACACACACACACACACACACCCACCCCCCTCACACACACACACACACACACACACATCCAGCCCCCTCATACACACACACACACACACACATACACATACACCCAGCCCCCCCACCCACACTCACACACACCCACCCCCCCCCCACACACACACACACACACACACCCACCCACCCCCCTCACACACACACACACACCCACCCCCCCCCCCCACACACACACACACACACACACATTCACATACACCCAGCCCCCTCACCCACACACACACACACACAGCGCTAGTCTTCACGTTCTGACAGCCAAGTCTCCACACAGATCAATGTGAGGAGGCCACACAGCCTGGGACCTGCCAGAGGCCACAGTGTGTCTAACAGTGAGCTGTCAAATGAGCTCAGCAGCCTGCCAGGTCATGCCCTGGAGCCGCCGGGGGGGGCATTCACAGGCTGAGCCCGTGGCTGGGTACCCCCCCACACCAGCAATACACACCATTAGGCCTGGGGGGGCCACAGACACCCCAGAGTTTTTCTGTATTCAGAAGGCTTAATGCCATAATCTTAAGATTTACTGGATTTAGGGAATGCAGGTGACCATGTGCTGGAGCTGGAGGCAGAGTTTATTCTAAATATTCTGGCTCACTCACCGCAGAATGGCTCAGAACGACACCAAAAGCCCAGCTGTGTGTTTCCCTGAACACACTCCACACCTCACACCACGCCAGCACAGCACAAGGTGGAGCTCGGCCTTCGTCGTGACACAGTCACACAGCTCAGAGCTGCATCTCGAGCCAAATCATACACAGCCCACATCCTTATTAAACATAATGTGCTTAATCAGGGTTATTCAAACAGGCTTGAGAGAGACAATAAAAAGCAGAGCGGTGCCAAACTGGCAGTGAAGAGTGAGCACACTCAAAAGAGCAGCTCATTAGGGCAGACTGGCACGGGGTGCCCGGTACCCCCTGAGCCAGCAGCCAGGGCATGGATTACACACGCATGCAAACACGGCCCACAGAGCCAGCCTGCTTCACGGAGGTCTGAGGTGCACGCTCTGATTGGCCCAGGGGTGGGAGGGGGAGTGGCTTATGGGTCCAGTCCTGGTTCAGGTCAGGAGGATTCCCACAAACCGACCGTATCTGGGAGGCGCTCTGCTGCCTTAATCTCATCAAACGTCAAGCGCAGAGAGGGCAGGCATGCACAACAATACGTTTTCCCTCTTTACTTTTTTAGCTTTAAAAGGAAAAAAAGCCCCTGTAAAAAAAGTCTGTGTGAACACTCAGACATCATAAAGGCCAGTTTGAGTTTACTGGCTGGGGTTCAGAGGACAGATGAGTTGGGGTTGGTGTTGGGCGGTGGGGGTTGGGGGTTGGGATAGGGATAGGGATGGGGTTGGGGTTAGGAAGCGTGAGTATTAGGGCAAAATGGCCACCTGTTTGCGACGTTAATGCAGGTCCGTGTTCAGCGCCCTCCCCATTCCACACTGCTGTCAATCACGCCCCCTGATCAGAGACTGAATTGATTTCTGACTGCACCTGTCAGTCATGACAACCTGAGAGCGACATAATATCGCCCAGTGCTTTCACACACACACACAAACACACACACACACACACACACACACACACACACACACACACACACACACACACATTTACCCATTTACCTACAGTCTGCAGAGTATCCAGCACTGCATCAAGCCCATTTACCTACAGTCTGCAGAGTATCCAGCACTGCATCAAGCCCATTTACCTACAGTCTGCAGAGTATCCAGCACTGCATCAAGCCCATTTACCTACAGTCTACAGAGTATCCAGCACTGCATCAAGCCCATTTACCTACAGTCTGCAGAGTATCCAGCACTGCATCAAGCCCATTTACCTACAGTCTACAGAGTATCCAGCACTGCATCAAGCCCATTTACCTACAGTCTACAGAGTATCCAGCACTGCATCAAGCTCATTCACCTACAGTCTGCAGAGTATCCAGCACTGCATCAAGCCCATTTACCTACAGTCTACAGAGTATCCAGCACTGCATCAAGCCCATTTACCTACAGTCTACAGAGTATCCAGCACTGCATCAAGCCCATTTACCAACAGTCTACAGAGTATCCAGCACTGCATCAAGCCCATTTACCTACAGTCTACAGAGTATCCAGCACTGCATCAAGCCCATTTACCTACAGTCTACAGGGTATCCAGCACTGCATCAAGCCCATTTACCTACAGTCTGCAGAGTATCCAGCACTGCATCAAGCCCATTTACCTACAGTCTACAGGGTATCCAACACAGCATCAAGCCCATTTACCTACAGTCTGCAGAGTATCCAGCACTGCATCAAGCCCATTTACCTACAGTCTACAGAGTATCCAGCACTGCATCAAGCCCATTTACCTATGGTCGATTAACCTATTCACCTGTGTACCTGTCCCACTTCTCAGCTGGTTTTGGGAGAGCCATCAGTGCATTCTTGCATCCTGGGGGGTTGGGGTGAGA